GTACCGGAGGGCATTGGGGAGTTCTCGGTCCCTTTCCGCTCACCCTTCGCCCTCCCGCGGGCCCGGCCCGGCTCCGCACGGGCTGAGCTCATCTTTCCAGCCCGCGGGCGCTGTTCCCGGCGCCGGCGCCCGCCAGCAGCCGCCGCTCTTTCCATCGCCCCGGCCAGGGGCTCCCCGCGGGGACCGGGCGGGGGCGGGACCCCGCGTCACTGCCCCCGCACCCGGGGCACCGAGCGGGAGGAGACCGGGGGTACCGGAGCCGCTGAGCACCGGGGATATCAGCTCAGATGGGCACTGGGCATAGCGGCACCGGGGGTRCGGGAGAGCAACGGGGAGMGMGGMACCGGGGRGCACCGGGGGTACGGGAGAGCGGAACCGGGGGGACACCGGGAATGGGGCGCTGGAGATACCGACACCGAGGGGACATCGGGGATATGAGCACTGAGGGAACACGGGGGATAACGGTACCGGAGATGCTGGCATCGAGAGAATCGGGGGTACCGGCAACGTGGGGGCACCGAGGATACCGACACCGAGAGGGCACCGGGGGTAGGGAATTGAGCGATGCCAGCACCGAGGGGGCACCGGGGGTGGGCACACCGGAGCACCAACAACAATGGGGACACCGGAAATACCAGCACCGAGAAAGCACCGGGAACGGAGGCACCGGGAGATGCCAGCCCCGGGCTAGCAGCAGCGAGGAGACACCGCGAAGGGSCACCGGTCCTGGGGACTCCCGGGGATACCCCTGACACCGGGGCCTCCCTCCCCCCCTCCGGCGGCCCCCGGAGCCCCGGAGGGGATATGTGGGGAAGCGAGGGGCGCCCGGGCTATTTTTAGCCGGGGCCGCGGGGGTATTTTTAGCCGGGGCCGCGGGTGCGTCAATGGAACCCCGCGTGCGTCACGGCCGCGCCCCCGCCGGGGCCGCCCCCCCCGTGCGTCACCGTCCCCGCGCCGCCCCGCGCGTCACCGAGTGCTTAAGAGAAAGTAGTGGCGGGGCCGGTGCCCGGCGGAGCCCGCGGAGCAGGAGCGGTGGCAGGAGCGGGGACCGGAGCGCCGCCGCGCCGGCACCCGGGTACGGGCGGCACCGGGATGCGGGGACCAGGCGGGGGGCACCGGGGGCGGGGGGTCCCGGTGGCACCGGGAGGTGCGAGGGGTCGGGGGGGTCCCGGTGGCACCGGGAACAACAGGAGAGATTGTCCCGGGCGGCACCGGAGGGAGTCAGGTCGGGCGTGTCAGGTGGCACCGGGGTGACCGGAGTCGGGCATCCCGGTAGCACCGGGGGCTCAGGGCGTCCTGCAAGGTGTATGTGGCAGCACCGCGGGCATCAGGGTCGCGCGATCCGGTGGCACCGGGTGGAGCCGGGGCTCGCGTGTCCGGGGAACACCGTGGAAGGAACAGCCGGTGCCACCGGAGAGAGTCGGGGATRCCGGTGGAAGGGACCGGGCGGTGCGCGCTGTGCGGGATTGCCCGTTGGCTTATCCGTTGGCACCGGGGGGACTGAGTTGGGAGTCCCGGTAACACCGGGAGGAGCAGGGGGTCGCGCACCTGCCGGGAGTTGRCAGAGCGAGAGTTCCCGGTCCCGGGGGTCCCGGGAGGAGCCCGGTACCTCMCACTGTGAGGAGCTGCGCAGGACCGGGAGCCGCGGAGACCGGGCTGGTTCCCCCCGAACCGGAGCCAACTGCACACGCAGGAAAACCCCWTCCCTGCGGATTGCGGGGGGCAGAATCACCGCACACCGGGCATCACCCCGGGATCCCCGAGCAGAGCGGTCACGGACCTCGAGTGGG